TTTGTTAACCAAATGCTGCCAAATTCTTTCAAAAAAGCAAAATGTCAACCAATTTAATAGAGATTAGTATCCACAGCTCCTTTTGGGAGGGTTGGGATTAAAATCTCCATTATTTTTTCCCCCTCACATCAAATATCCTGATGTTTCTGCATTTCAAATCAATTTCAGAATGGGGAAGAATGCACTTGCATTTAGAAGAGGAATAATATGTAAAGTATTGTAACAATGTGAGACCTTGAGGAGCAGTGTCTAATTCATATGTCCCACACAAGTCAGTCCCAGGGACAGGCAAATGGTGGATGGTATTTATCCCCATCAGTGTGCATCTGCCTCAGCGGCCTGTGCATGAAAACACAAACGTGAGCCATATGTCCATCTTCTGAGTTGGTGGGAAGCCTCCAAGTGCCACCTAATCCAGAGAATGACAGATGACAGAGACATCAGAAGGGAGAAAATACCTCACCTACTTCCAGATGGAGCAAAGACCCAGAGATTCAGTTCTTTGGGACAGAAGGAGCCTCCCTCCACCGACTCAAACACAATATAAAGCACCACCACACAACATAACACACCAGCCCTCACCCCTCCCTAAAGGGAGCCCCGTGTGTAGCAATGCCAAAAGAACCTTAACTCAGCATCTTTACAGGCATGAAAACCAGAAATGAAAGCTAACTGGAAAATTTGTTAAATATTAAAACTAGCAAAGTAGGACTGAAATCTTGCAGCTGCTGAAACAAACAGACCCCTGATATTTCTCCTAAGGTATCTCCACACCCCCAGTCAGATCAGGCCTCTGCTGGGGGCCAGGGAGTAGCTAAAAAAAAAAAAAAAAATCTGTTGAATTCCTGGGAGTAATCAAAAGCTCTGTTAACAATGAGATAAGAAAAAAGTTAGTTAAACATCTACCTCCGTAAGGCTAAATAAGATCTCAGAGTCACCAGAGGTTACTTGGTAAATGTCTTAAGATAATCTCGAGTTGTTTTACAGAACTACTGTCACCTGAAAGCCTGCTTTGAAGCAGACCTGAAGGAGTCAAGAACATTACTCAAGATGCCAGGGATAATTGTGCTGACTTCACCCAGAACCAGATTCCCATGCGACCCCTACTCATTATTTTGCTCTTTAAATGCTTGTGATTTTAAGCTCTAGGGGAGTTCGAGGTCTTTAAGCTCCTTTAGCTGCCTTGTCCTCCTTTGGCCATTCAAATAAATGCTGTTCTTTATCACTGCAAACTTTGGCATGAGAGACTGTTGAGTCAGTTGACCCTGTGGATGATGGACCCTCCTCTGGGTTTGGTGACACTGCCACAGGCAGAGGCTGGAGGAACATCAGTACTGCTGAAATGGTAAAAGTAACGGCCTGCACAGCCAAGGATGCCTTCAAGCACTTGTCACTGAGGGTGGGAAGGCTGTGAGAGGAGTGGTAGTCGAAACTAAGCACAGGGAGTCTGGCTGCTATAGGAAAAGATCACTGGCCATCTAATAGCCAGCCAGCCACTTTGGAGAGGTAGTGATTTTCAGGACATAATGTTTGTAAGAGGTTCAGTTATCTTTAAAGGGCTTTCAATATCTATAAAGGACCTTAATAACTCCAATTTTTGATTGCTATTTGGCTAAACAAATTTTAAAGCATTATGTTTAGAAAAAATAATTCCCAATCTACCATTTCAAAAGTTCAAGTTTGAATAATATTGGTGCATCATAAACTTAATCTTAAAATTAAAATAAGATTGTTATGTGTTTTTGAGTGAAAGGAGCATGTTATGAAATAATTTAATATGATCCCCTTTTTTGGGTAAAATAAATGCAATGAAAGTGTCTGGAAAGTTCCACAACAGGGTTTATTAACCTAGGCACCATTGACATTTGGGTCCAAAATTCTTTGTTTTGGGGAGCTGGCCTGTGCATTGCAAGATGTTTAGCAGTATTCCTGGCCTTTCCCCACTAGATGCCAGCGGCATCTTCCCCCTGAGTTGTGACAATCAAAAATGTCTCTATACATTGCCAAATGTCTCTTTGGGGACAAAATCACCCCCAGCTGAGAATCATTTCTCTACCCTAATATGTTTACAGTGGTTAAATCTGGGTGGGAGTGTTACAGGTAATTTTGCCTCCCCCCCCCCATTTATTTCTGGTTGCTCTACAATGAACATGTATATATATCTCTTAATATGTATCTTCTGTAATAAAAATAAAAGCTACTATTAAAATACCCACAACCATAGCATTATTTATTTTAAAAATGATAGGCAAACGCTTTTGAGCAAAGGTTTTGAAAAAAATCTGCAGACAGAAGATTTATGAATGATACAGTAGGGAACCAAAATGGAAATAGGGAAAAATAGTTCTTTTAGTGAAAAATCATCCACAAGATTGGGGGAGGGGGTAACAAAGTGAAGGAAGAAAGAATTTGATTTATGCCCCAGGTGTGCCCATCTGTAATGATCAAACCTTCTGTTTAATGTTCTCATTAGATGTGCCATGCTGGGCAGGCTTGTGCTCTGGGCTGTACAAATAGTTTTTCTCTGTGCTGATTTCCTTTCTAGTTGAGCTCATCCCAGGGGCACCACATCTTTCCCTTGTTGTGGGGACCAGTTCACTTCACTCATTCACTTCCCTTGGGCACGATGTGGCACTAGGTTTCACTCACTTTACAGTGGTGGTGTTTTCATTCACCAGTTTAAAATTTATGGGGTGTGGAAATAGAGCCAGTAATAGATGTCTTCACGAGGGAAACTTACCTAACGTGGAAGTTGTATATAAAATCCTAGAATCGAGGAATGACCAGTGATGAATAGTACATGTCAAAGACTTTGAAACTTCAATTTCGCAGCTCCACTTGAACCTTGGGCCTAGGGACAGAATCTGATGAGGATGCAGAGGACAACTTCTCAGACCTGGTGCGGACTGACCACAGAAGTGATGCGATGTATGGCAGGTATATCACATCTAAGAAGACGTTACCCTCCTCCACAAGAAATAACTATTGTATGCTTGTGTTTGAATGGATATGTATGTGTGTATGTATCCATGTTGCAAAGCACTGAAGAAGTGAAATTAGAGAAAGCTCAATACTTCAATGTGCTAAGAATGGCAAGAGATGTAAAAGCAACTCAGAATTAGATTCCCTTTCACAGAAAATGTGGTTCAACTGCTAAAGGATTTCATTCTGAAGGCAGTAAGTAGGAAGTAAATTACTATTGTACTTTCAGGTGAAAAAACCAAAGTTAGGCCATGTCTGCTTTTGAATCGATATGGTCATATGTCTCCATGGCTTCTCTTTTTGGTGCTAAGCATGTGATCTGGCAGCTAACACTTACATAGCACCCATATGTGCCACGTACCCTCCTGTGTGTCTACCTCTTTTAATCTTCAAAACAACCCAGAGGAAGTTGGCATTTCTATCTCACAGACGTGGACACTGAAAAACATAGTAGGTGCTCGATAAATATTTTGTGAATGAAATTAATAAGACAAACTATCTTCAGTCACTTTATTTTCCTTTTGTTCTTAGTAACAGCTCATTCTTTCCCACTCCTGAACTTCTTTTGCAGTTAGTATGATACATTTGTTCCTCAGAACTGGCAGAATCATTTCTACAAAGATTGAGAAAAACAGAGCACTCTGATTAATATAATTATACTTTAAATTAAACCATGATATCAGAAACTGTTTGGATTTGTGGACAATCACCGAAGACCATGACTCCAGAACACATCTCTCTTACCAGGGCTGTCTGCTTGTGCCAAAAATATAAATAAGGAAACAGGGATGATATCTGTTTTCCTGAAAGAGCATTAATGGATTATGAGTTTATGATTAAAACAAATATATATTAAAGCAAAGCATATGAAATTGCTGTTTCTCAGGTCAAAAAAAGCCAAATATCAACAATTTTATATAGTTCAACTTAATAGATTCTGTAACATTTTAATGTAGTGTGACTGTAGAATTTAATTTTCTTAACAAGTGGCAAAAGAGATGGGGATAGTTACTGGAATTTAACTAGAAAGGTATTGTTTTATGGTATAGTTTAGTTCCCACAGTAAATTATGTCAATTTTAATAATCTCTCCCTTACATATTCATTTAACTTATTTCTTTTGTGTATCCTGTGTTTATTTATTGATTTTAATACTATGTGGACAGAGGCTATTTATTCATGCATATTCCAAAGAGTCTTTGATACACTGCCCATTCTAATAGAATATTTAATATTATAATAGCAACACAGTGCTTCGACTGCTGAACTTTCTAGTTTGCAGACCATGCAAACATCTTTTTAAAAACACATTTCTAGAAATAAATATAATATTCTATTACAAAATGTGGCAATTTCTTTTAGGTTAGCTTTGAGGGACAACAGAAAACCCCCATTAAATTATCAAGAGAACATTTTTTCACTACAAAAGAATAATAATTTATGTTTACACTCCAGAACTAATCACAAAGCATAAAATATGGCCCCTTAAAGTAGCCAAAAGTGTGTAATATCATGGTCTATGCCTGATTTATTCACTCTAAACATGGATTATTATGATTGAAGAGTGGGTTGAGGTCCTTACATGTAACCAACTTACCATCAACCTCGTGGCATTTGATGTTTTAAGTACCTCATCACTCTCACAATAAACCAAATTCTGAAAAAGTACTATTTATAAAATAAATGATCTTTGTGAAATATCTTTTTACAGTGCTACATACACATGGTAAATACCCCCAAAATAATTGTAGAAGTGTGCTTGTTAGAAAATAATAAACAAAGAGGTCACCACAGTACACCTACCTGGGTAAATTCTGCGCCCAATCTGGCAGACATTTACTGAATGTTTAAGACGCATAAAGCAATCAGTCAACTGCCACATTCCAGGTGCCCAGTCACTGTATGAGACCCACATGCCTGAACCAACCACCTCTAGGAGGCAGGACCAAACAAGGGCTCTGAGAACAGAGAAAAGAAACAAGCAATTTGCAATGACACTGAAAAATTAGAATAAACTTCTTTGATCTCAAATGCTTTATTGTTGGGCTGCTCATTTGTGTGCACTCACGTGCCTCATTGCAGCAGGGGTCTGGCAAAGGGACCTTTTGGAGTTAGTTTTCCATTTGTATGTGTAATCCCCATTCCTCCATAAATTGCATGAGATAGGCTTCACTGTCTTCTAGTGGCTTGTCTGGAGCCTGCTCATCACAGAATCTAGACAAAAGGCCCTCATCTGAGAAGCCATTGTACTCAGCATGCTCACAGCCCCCTGAGTCCTGCTCAAAGTTGGACATCGAAGGCATACACAGCCTGCCAGTCCAAGGGTCCCAATCGACCAGTGTTGTTGATGGCTCTTCCTCTGGCCCCTCTTCCGAGTCTGCGTGCTCCTGGGCCAGGTGGTCTAAGTCTCTGAGCTGAGGGGTATAGGAACACAGCAAAGTTTGTGGACCCAAGTTTGCCAGAGCTGCCTGTTGCTCACATAATTTTCCTTGTGTGAGCACCTCCTCTTGCAAAATGAGCTCTTGATCTTCACGCCCCACACAAATGTCAGTAGATCTCACATCATATTCATATTTAATGACTGTTTTATCTGTGGGTATCATTCTGCTGAGTGACTCTTGCTGGCTGAGGGAACTACATTTGGTGTTTTCCTCAGAGGCACAGCAAATTTCCATCAGATGCGAAGCATACCCTGAGTGTGTCCCCTCGGCTTCCTCCTGATGGGGCTCCAGGCTCCTGCCGGGCTCGGTATCATTAAGGCTGGATACATCACTGCTTTTTTCCAGCAAACTCATATCCTTATGAGAAACTTTAGAATCATCCAAAATATTGACGGTGATAAAGTTAATCATGATTTTTTCAGCAGGTACAAAGAATCTTTTGTCAAATTCATTTCCATAAATCAGAATCTACAAAGAGAGAAGAGAATGGTTTTCACCTTCTCACTTTAGAGACACATTAAAAACAAATGTTAAGTAGAATTTATAGTGTCACCAGATAGTTTTAAAGATCTGCTCTCACCAACTCATGAAAATGAAAGTTATGCTTGCAATATGCAGAAAGCCTGACTCCCTGGGAGGCGAGGGACCAAAGACACACAAAATGCATCCAAAGTGCAAAGTGGCTCACAGGTGATGGGATTTATCAGTGGAGGCTCAGGGTGCAGCTGCCGCCTCCTCTAGCAGGCTGAGGGAATGCAGTGAGTCACTGAATTTCTTGAACCTTTTCAATTCTGTAAAATCAGAATGTCTGCCACATGAAGAGTGGTGAAGACTGAGACAGAGTTTGTGAGAGTGTTTTTATTTATAGTATACTCTATGTTCGTTAATAAGCTGTGGTTACCTGGGCTACCAGACCTTTCTTGGACACACCATGGGTGTGAAATGTGATGGGCATGAACACGGGATGTAGAAAGGGAGAGAAGCATCTGAGTAGAAATGCTTACTCCCCTCCCACCGTTCTAATCATGCCACAATAAGGCCCCAAAGGGAATTCATCTGCCACTTAATGGTAGTGAGAGAAACTCTAAATCATGCCAGGGAAGCTCATTTGAGATTAAAACATTGCTGGGTGTACGTGGAAGGTGCCTGTTACCTAAGTGTCAGTGATGGGTTATGCTGCAGTCCTCATCATCCCCCTAGGATGGGATTTCAGTTAACATGACAAAATAGGACCCTCAGCCTCATTCTTTAACAAAATTTTTAGTTTCAAAAAATCACATGAGGTCAATTCTCCTGTGAATTTTCCTTCCAGAAAGGGTCTCCCTAGGCTATCAAGAAGCTAACTCTGAAACCTAAATGCAGGCAGAATAACAGAAAACTTTACAAACTGAACGGACAGGAGCAAACGTATGTTATTCTTTACACATACATGTGAACACATCTTTTAATAATTCCCAAGGAAGAGATTTTTATTGTTAAAAATGTGCTCAGCCCTTTGCAACCCTTCAGTGGATGGTCCAGTGACATAGGATTTACTCCTTCTTCTGCTTTCTTGCTTCTCCTTGTTGTGAATGATCAGGTCCTGGCCATGTTCCTCTCCTGTATTTCCATTCCATGTCTTTATCTCTAGCCTGACATCCATGTTCCTCTTTTAGACTCCCATCTTCTCCCCCGCAGACAATTGCCACAGTTTCCTAGCTGCTTTGCTTGTTTCTAGTCTTACTTTCCCTGAGTTGTTCCGTAACTAATATCCAGATGGATCTAAAACACAATACTAACTATGATACTCCCCACTTAAAATCCTATGGAGAGTTCTCTTTGCCAACAGAATAAAGCCCAAGCCCCTTAGACTAGCACCCCACTTCCCTGCTTACCTGGCCCCTCCACCCTCTCTCTAGTCTTATCTTTCATAGCTCACAAGGAACCTCATGGTTTAGCAGTAGGATGTGGCTCCCCACACATCTACCCACCTCTGCCCCTCCTCTTTCTTCTGCCTGCAGTGAGTGTCCTGACTCACCTTCCATCACCAAGCCTTGGCATGAGAACTGATCCCCCGTAGAGGGTTTCAGGGCCCCCCTGTACTCCCAGAGTCCCCAGTGCCGGTTTTCATCTTAGCCACAGAATATTTTGAAATTCTAGTCCCCAACTAGGCTTGAACCCCTAAAAGGGCAGAGTTCACAACTTAAATACCTGGTACCCCAGGACCTTGCATAATCTGGCCAGTAAATATGAAATCTTTTCAGAGCTGAGGAATCTTTACATTTGGTTATGTTACTGAACTAATAAAGTATAGAGAGTGTTTCTTAATCCATCTGCTACTTAACTTTAAATTCCCTCTGCCCTAAAATGGAACTGTATCTGTTCTGAGCCTCCTTTTCTATCCGCCTGGAGGTGTGTTATTATAATAAAGACTCCTGCCACACTGAGCACTTACCAAATTTGCTGGGTGTTTCTCTTTGCCAACGTGGATATATCGGTAGGTAAAATAGCCCATCACAGAAAAAAGAAACACGGTAACAGATATGGGCAAAACATACCAGAAGATAAATTTAACCTTGAACACTGATGTTTGATCTGTTTAAAAAAAAAAAAAGGAGGGGTTGGATAGTTGTGATGTGATGTGGTGTGGAGAGAAAACACTGGCAACATCAAGAGGCTTTGGGCAGAGCGCTTACAGTAGGAACTCAGTTTTCTCATCTATACATTGAAAAGCTGAGCTAAACATTATAAGGGGTCTCAGAATTCCTACTCTCTCTGACAACAGATGGTCTTAAGGAATCATCTGGACTCACCTCAAATCTTTACAGTAAGGATACATCAATAATCCAACTCAGCAGATATTCTAGCATTTTATGTCTGGCTATGAGATTCATGCTGGTTCTTATACTCGAGGTAAGTGTGTCTGATATTCAGGTTACTCACAGCCCTTCAAACAAAACAACAAAACCCTCTGTGGAGATTCCATTAAGAGGCTCCACTTTTCATGCCACTTATTTGACTCCATCTTTTCCATATACAGGAGTCCCCCTTATCCCTGGTTTCGCTTTCTGAGGTTTCAGTTATCTGAGGTCAACTGCAGTCCGAAAATAGGGAAGTACAGTACAATAAGATATTGAGAGATAGAGAGAAAGAGGACACATTCACATAACTTTTATTACAATAGATTGTTATAATTGTTCTATTCTTATTACTGAGTCATTCATCTTACTGTACCCAATTTATAAATTAAACTTTATCACAGGTATGTATGTATAGGAAAAACACAGTATGAAGGTACTTCAAAAGTTCACAGAAAAATTCGTATTATTTTTCAGTTTTATTTTTCCATGAACCTTTTACATACAGGGTTTGGCACTACCATGGTTTCAGCATCAACTGGGGGTCTTGGGATGCATCTCCCGCAGATAAGGGGTCACTACTGTATTCTAGCAGAAGACACGAATATGTGATGCATCACCTTTTGCGTGACTGACAGAATCCCTTTTGCACTGGTTGGCCAGACTTTCTGGAGCTTGGGGATGTGTGTGGGGAGGAGGCTGAACTGGAGTATGCTGAGACTGACAGGAACTCCCTTCCAGGTCCTGCTATGCTGTAGGCTCATGATGAGAAGTCCAAAGAGCAATGAAAAGACCTGGTGAAGAGTTTTCAGAAAAGCATCCCTGGCCTGCCATTGATGGGATGACACAGTTGATGATGGGTGGAATCATGACTAACTTCTATTTGTTAAGCTCCTATGGTGAACCTGGAAGTTGTGATGGTTAATTTGATGTGTCGACTTGGCTAGGCCACGATATTCAGATATTCGGCCAAATATTTTTCTAAATGTTTCTATGAAGGTATTTTTTGGATAAGATAAACATTTAAATCAGTAGATTTTGGGTAAAGCGGATTACCTTTTATAACGTGGGTGGGCCTTATCTAATCAATTGGAGACCTTAATGAAAAAAAGACTGATGGCCCTGAGGAAGAAAGAATTCTGCCAGCAGACCACCTGTGCACAGCAACTGCAACATAACTCTTCCTGGGTCTCCAGCTTGCTGGCCCACCCTACAGATTTTTGACTTGCTAGCCTTCACAATCTCATGAGCCAACTTCTTAAAATAAATCAATCAAGCTCTCTCTCTGTTTCTGTCTGTCTGTCTGTCTGTCTCTCTGTTCTGTTGGTTCCTATCAGTTTTGTTTCTCTGGAGAATCCTGACTAATACAGCAGTAGAAATAGGAGCAGCTTCAGCACAAATGACAAAAGTCCTAGAGTATTCCTTACATGCTAATAAAATCAACAAGAGTGTCACAGGAACATTCTAATCCATGTGAACATCTTGATGCCTGGGCCCAAAAGAAAGCAGTCACAATACATTAACTTTCTGGCTAAAGACGGAAACAGATGAATCATGGATGGCGAGGGTGCTCAACAGTAGCTGTGGGAAAGTCCAGTCTGGGGTTCTAGCTGCAGGCTCTGTTACCCTGAGCAACTCCCAGAGAGCACACTGGTCAGCAGGCCCCACACAGTAACGTGCCAGCCCTGCAGTGTGGGTGTTGCAGGTGTCTGAACACCACCTGCTCCTACTTCAGGCTGCAACTCAGTCCAGTCCTCTTAATACAGTTCCTGACTCCAGACTGAACTTGTCCTAATTAAAAAGAGTCATGACAACGACTGATGGCATTTAGTGTACACTAGCACATTTACTACAATGAACATAATAAACCGTATCTGTATTGTAGGGGTTGGGGGTTGGTGGAGAGAAGAAATTTTTTCAAAGAATAGTCCCAATAGAAGTATTACTTGAGTTTTTAGAAAGCGGACCTCTCAGTGTCTAGGAAAGGTATCTTCCGTGATCTAACAGCTGGGATATCATGGGCAAGTTCAGAATCAGATATAAGACCTTGTTATTTTGTTACTTTCCCTACACTAGTGAGAAAGTGGGCTCCATCCGCTTATCGGGAAGTATTTAATTTAATCTGCACTTTTTGTTGCTTTAGCTCTGCCAACTGCATAAATGATTTCTGCTGGAAATTCATTCCAATCATTCAGCACTGATCAAGCTGTTCGTAAACACAGCACTTTTTCCAAATACAAAAATGATTTCTTCAATCTGCTTTGTTTTGCTTGCTTGGCGTTTTAGTTTTTTTTGATGTATGATGGAGAATCGTACTTACAAAACTCCCTTTCTTTTCCTTGGGATTGTTTCATCTTGAGAAGTGGGAGGTGGGAGGAAGAGGAAAGCAGGGGATGGATTCCTGTTCATAGCCAGTGACAGAAGCAAGACTGGGGTAAAAGGTTGCGAGCATTTGTGTCTGGTCCAGCATGTTTGGAGCAGAAGCAGAAAATAATGGATGAAGAGCCACTCAATGCAGGCAAACTTGAGGATTTATTTTCTTTCAATTTTCAGGTTTTGAGTTCAAGCTCCTCTCAGCCTGGGCGAGGAAAATTTATACAAATGCCACACTCCCAACTCTACGACTCCCAACAAGAATGAGAATCTTCAACCACAGTTCCCGGGCAGCTCAGTCCAGGAAAGGTGAGAAGGAGACAAATACAAGGAAAGAGAGAAGCAACTGGAAGAGGAAAGGAGTAACTACTGATTTGCTGCTTCCAGACCCTTGTGCAGCCAATAAGTGGCATCTGAACACAACCTGAAGAGTCTGGAATTTGTATTTCCAAGGGGGAGAAAAAAAAAAGTTTTAAAGTGTTTTTAGGGTAATGCTTTGTTTCTAGCAATAACATGGTCTGATGTTCTTGAAGACCACAGAACTTCTGTTGATCCCGGTGATTATAATTTTAAAGGAGAAAAAAGATGTATGTACAAATTCTTAAGTGTACAAAGAAACAGAAATACCGCATGTTCTCACTCAGGCTGCTAGGAAGGAAGGTGGGTGGGGGAGGGAAGGAGGAAAGAAGGAAGGAATGAAGGAAAGAAAGAAAAGACTGCAACAACACGTTGGACTTTCAGAAGGAGAGAACAAACCTAAGGATGCCAGGGCATAAAGAAATATCATGATTTGTAAGAACGAATATGCTAATAAATACAATTTTTAAAAAAAGAAATAAACATTTTAATATTAAAAAAAAATTCTTAAGTGTTATTTTGCAAGGCAGGAAGCTGTGGGAGGTTTGTTGGTATCAGACTCCAGCACCCTACTGAGAGTTCTAAAAGGGGGTGTAGACACTTCCTAACACTGGCTGAGCTCAAGGGCAGAGTCCCAGGCTGCTTCATGCATTTCTGATAATAGTTGTTTCTTGTTTGCCTCAACCTGTTTCTGGTAGACATGGATTTGTCAAAACCTTGCCCTTCTAGTTTTATCAGATTTCCTTCCTCAGACCAGCTGAGCTTTTTTTTAAAAGCTTACCTTCCAGAGTACTGACACACTGCTTTTCAGAAGGCTGAGCAAGGCGAGGAGGCCCTGGGACGAAGGACTGCACGTGGACGCAGTACAGAGTGTTTGGCTCCAGCCAGCTGAGCACCAGTGTGTGGTTGGTCACACACTGGGACCACTAGAACAGCGAATTGCAAACAGCAGTTACAGCCAAAGATGTCTGGGACCATCCCAGACAAATAACTCTAGAAGGAAATAAAAGACTGAGATACTGTTTAATCCTTTACTATCACTACCAGCTTTTTTTTTTTTTTTCCAGCAACATTTGCAAAATAGCCTTTTCTTCTAGATTGGCAGAGCATGGTTAGAAACTGGACCAATTCTGGGAACAATTTTAAGCAATAACACATGCATGGATTTCTTATTCAACTTTGTCCTGTGTTCTTGCTATCATTTTTTTTTTTTTTCCTTCTTGGAGAGTGAGTGACAAGTTATGCAAGTAAAAGCTCTCCATCTCACTGAAGTGCATAATTGCTCTATACTCCTGTGGAACATCATGGCCTGCTAACAGAGAAGTTCTGTAAAGAAAATCTGAAGTCAGTTCTGTAAGTTTTCTACAGATCAGCTTCAACTGCGTCTTGTATGCATCTCTTTTGAATATCACATCAAAGCACCAGGGCTGTTTGTTCTAGCATTATTTACAAAAAGTGATACATAGATTAGATTATGTGCTCCATTCCATTTCAGGCTTACCATTCTATTTGATTTAGTATTATATACAGACACATTATACTTCAGATTGGAGTATATTTGTTGCATGGAAACAGAACTGTCTTCTGGGTTTATCTTCCATTTCTCTGGAGCCGTCAGGTCAATAGAAATGGACTTCTCATCAGTAGTCAGAGCAACTTCTGGTGGGCCAATTTGTGCTTAAAGGGGAGGGGAGAGGTATTATCATGTTCAGATGTAAAAACCATCTTAAATAAAGCTACAATATAATACTACTCAGATCAAAGCCCTAAAACCCACTTTCTTATAAGAGATGCCACAAAGCTGGGCCCAAGTTATGCCATATCTTGAAACAATGATTTCACATACCCTGACACAATGTTAAAACAGCAAGTTCAAGTGTTGTATTTACCTAGCTCCTAGTCACGTGGATAAACAGTATTTGGTGATGGTAAATACAATCAAACATGTTGGTAACATTCCTATGGCTTGAAATTTGGTGATAAATATTTGATAAGTGGTAAAATTAGAGATGTGATTAGAACGATCTAGAACAGAGGTCAGCAAACTTTTATCATAAAGGTCTGTAAAGTATATTTTTGGCTTTGTAGGTCCTTATGATCTCTGTTGCAACTATTCCACTCTGGTCATAGCACAAAAGCAGTCATAAATAACTGTGTAAACAAATAAGCATGGCTTGTGTTCCAATAAAACTTTATTTATGAATAACACCACGAGTTGAATTTCATGTAATTTTCATGTCACAAAATATTCTTTTGATTTTTAAAAAACTATTTGAAAATATAAATACCATTCTTAGCTCTTGGCCTGTGGAAAAACAGAAGGGGTAGGGAGTGGGTACTGGATTTGGCCTGAGAGCTGTAGTTTGCTAATTTTTGATCTGGAATAACATGGGGGAAAGGCTCCAGCTCTTGGGTCTGCAGAACACTTGTAATGCTCATCCACAGATCAAGGATGGCAAAATTATAAAAGCTAACACCAGGAAGATGTTGCCTTAATTCTGAGTTACACCTAGAAATGACATCATCACACTACTAAGTTTATAACAAGAAGAGAGTTAGGTATCAGGATAACCTTTAATAAATCTTGTGGTTACATGTCGATAGTTCATAAAATCCCAACATTTAAAAAAGACCTGCTAGATGTTCCCCAAATTACATAGCTTCCACTAAATAGTAAAACAAAATCAAAAGCTGATATTATTGGCATCTGGCATCAATTTTGGATCTGAGAGAGACCTTAAAGATCATTTGTCCAAATCTCTCATTCTAGAGATCAGACTCTGAGACCCAGCAAGGTGAGGCACCTTGGCCTGGTCACTCAAATCACTGGAAGAGAAGAGAACCAAGCAGAGAACTCTCCTCTGGGGCAAGATTATCTATGAGACTGAGACTGTTAAACCAGGAGGCTAGATTAACTTGATATTAATCCACATTTAAATGACAATTACAAAAATTGCATTACTTACTTTCTAAAAAAGGATAGAATCGCCCAGTTTCAGCCCATTTGGAACAATTTGTTTCCGAAATGGCCTTCACTCTAGCATAATATTGGTGTTCATAGTCGGCAGTCTCAGCAGAAAGATCACAGTAGGTCCTATGGATATTTCTACATTTGGACTTATTCAGCCATTTCTTTTGCCCATATCTGCTGAGAAGAAAACGATGAATTAATAATGAGGTGGCCTCTGTACTTTACAATATAAAAAGCAGTCATTATATGAAACTGAATGGAACTAAGACCTTCTCTTCAGAAAAACAAAAGTGCCTGTCACTAAGACAAAAAGAATCCATTTCTGCTACTGGCAATTTTTTTCATTAGCTGTCAGGAACATGAGTCAGAGTTTCTGTAATCACCTTTCTTTTCTGTGAATTATAATGTGGATAGTACATTCTGAAAGCATGTACTTTATTTTTACTCTGGCTACAGTAAAATTTTTACATATTGTATGATCAATTCTTCTAGTAATTACCTCTGTAAGTTGTTTGTCCACTAGGTATACAAGGTCAGTTTGATGGGCTATTGTAAGAAAAGTTAGTCATTTTTTTTCTTGGAAGAAAAAATACGTTGACATTCTCATAAAATCTAAAAATCTGCTAGGCATCAAGAGTTCTGGGAAAAATTCACTAGGTTGAAGTGCACACCAAAATCTGCATTTTCAATAATTATAGTGATGGTGATGATTATGATGATGATGATGATGATAATGACTAAGTTGTTCATATTGATTTTCTTTTCCTTTATTAAAAACACCACCCCCACAGCAAACAGGAAGGGGGAAATACTTATAACACTTTTCAGATGGGAGAGACAGAGGTATAAAGAGTTTATTTACATGGCTCACCGTGCAATGAGCCAGTGAAACAGACAAGGTTGAACAGGAGGCTACTGAAGGGATTAAAGCAGGGGTGTTGGGGGACAAGACGAGTGGCACATTTTCGAAAACCAGCTCTGGTGGTAGTGTGGGGAATGCAATGGGTTGGCAGTGGAAGCCTGGGGAGCAGTTGAAAGGATACTGCAGTGGTCCAGGTGGAAGACGTAGGTGGCTTGTACAGGGAAAGTGGCAGTGGAATGAATGAGGACAGAACTAAAGCAAGAAATATTAGGAGATAGGACTTGGTGATTGAATGCATGTGAGAGATAAGGGAAATAAAGACATTAAGGATATTGTCTCTTTATGTCTTGAGGTAGATGGGTGAAAGAGTGGTAACATTTACCAAGATAAGGAACACCGAAGAAGAGTAAGTTTGGGAAATGGGGAGTGGGGAGGGATAGAAGGACGGAAACGTAGTGTGATCAGTTTTGACATTTTAAGCTTGAGGTACGTAAGAAACATCCAAATGCAGGTGCCCAGCAGGCAGTGGGGCTCAGGAGAGAGGTGAGAGTGGGAGCTGGAGATTTTGGAGTCAATGGCAATACCTAAACTTGACCATGCATTCCGTTATTTTCCATTCCACTTTGCTCCACACCATTCCATTCCTTTCCATTAAAAATAATGCTAGTTATGTCCCTCACAATTGATTTCATGACCCATGAACAGGTCTTTACTTATGGTTTGAAAAATATTGCCATGGCCTGTTTGGCTCTCTCTCTTCAAACTTCCTCACTCTGCCGAGGGCAGGGCAGCTTCCCATGACAGATGCTGATGAAGGAGAAAATGCTCCTTACTGAATTCTGAACAAAATGAAAGACATGACATGAATCACTAAACCAATATTCCAATAATGATGCTTATGCATGGCAAAAAGTCATGTGAGGCCCTCAGTGGTCTTTGACTGCTTTCCAGTAATGACAGAAAACATTTATCATGGTGCCTATTATGTGCTGGGATTGGTGCTTAGCATTTACATGCTTTATCTCATTGAATTATCATAATAACCCTAGGAGGTAGGTTCCATTATTTTCATCGCATTTTACAGAAAAAGAAACTGAAGATCAGTGAGATGAAAGGAGGCACTCAAGTTCACATGACTAGTAAAAGACATATCTGGGGTTTGAACCACTTTCTTTTGATGTCAAAGCTTGAGTTTTCAGTGCTTCACTCTATTTCTTGCATTAAATTGTTTTGGCAGATATAATTTAAACTTCTGTTAAAATTTCATCTTGGAAACAAACTTCAATCAAAAGTATAATATGTAACCTGCCCAAGATTACCCAGCTAGGTTCATAGCCTGGCTGTGAACCAAGGACTGTCTGACTCCAGAACTGAGCTTGGAACACTTTGGCAATGAAATATGCCACCCGGTATTCCTGTCCACCTTTCACATGCATGGGCGTGTAAGAACTCTGACATGGCAAGCTTCTCTTGAAATAGTCTTTTAAATGTTGCACAATCTAAATTATCTGTTCTCACAGAGCAGTGATGACTGTCTTATTTTTTAAAACCCCTTCCTGAATCACACAAAAGTACAAAGAAGACAGCAAGCTCTTTGCTCCACCTAATGGAAAAGGAAGCAAGAGCATGCTCTCGAGCTGTACCTCTTTGCAGAGGGATGTTTTCTTTCCTGAAACACGAGCTCCTGAGAAATTCACTGGACATGAGAGTGACGCTCTAGATTGATGAGGTCATTATGAGTAGTTGCTGACATCTTTCATTGGCTTTAGTGGTCTATTTTTTTTTCAAAGGCAAAAAAGACTTTATTTTTTTTTGTAAACATGGTACATTTAAAAAAACAAATCAAACAATTCAGAAAAGTATAATCAAGAGAAATAAACCACACTGAAACTTGTTTCATTGAAATATTTGGTGGACTTGATTCTGGACATCTTGTTATGCTTATATATAAACAGAAAGATGATTAGATAGCTTGAATATAGATGGACAAAAATTAATTATACCATACATATGGTTTTAATAAAAGTAGTAAATTTAACTTGATTTAAACTTTAATAGAAAAAGAAATGACATGAAATTAGAGTTGTTGAAATTCAAATATTTCATCGCCACAAGAAATATTAGTTCCTACAAGAGCTTTTCAATTAAAAAATGGTTTATTAAAAATATTGAGAAGTTAGTTATTAAAATAATGGAGTATTTCCATTTTAGATCACATTGAATAGCTTCCTGCTGTGAAAATCAGTACACTTATAGTTCTTCCTTATCTTCTGATTTTTATATTACTGTTTAAGTTCAAACATTTACAAGAATGTTCTGGAGCTATCGTTCCCATCACTGCTTAGTCTTAGCACTGCATCTAGATGGAGTCAACGCATGTCACCAGCCTTTTGTGCTATAACTGTGTTGTTACTATGTTCTTCTAAATCTCTCTGTCAGCAAGATATCATCTTTAGTTAGTGTTCTCCTCAGCCCCCAAGAAAGTCGTGGGAAGTGATTTCTTGAGTTTCTACCTGTGTGAACACACCTGTCTATTGAACTTAATAAGAGTCTTAGGTCAGACTCGTCTTTCCCTTAGAAGATGTATTCTGTTGAGTGTTAGTGTTGCTAGACTGAAATTTCTACCTTTCCCCCAACTTGAATTCTGCTTTTGCCATGATGGCCATCAATCACTTCATCTTCTTGAAGTTCAGTAACTTCAGCAGGATATGTCTTGCTATTGTTTTTATTAAATTTTCCTTGACATAGCATGAATTTATGATATGCAATTCCAAATAGTCTTTATTACCTGTTTAACCATTACTATCACTTAGCTAAATAGGTTTTTCATATTGATACAATATTTTAAAAAAGTTTTATCTTGTTTACTTTTCTTTTTAATTAAGTAATTGTTTTACTTATACATGTTTATGGGGTGCAATGTGTTTCAATGCATGCATATATTGTATAATGATCCAATCAAGGGAGTTAGCATATCCGTCACCTAAACATTTATCATTTCTTTGTGGTGATAACATTCAAGATCTTGAAACGGACAGTACAATATTATTAGCTATATTCACCCTGGAATATCAGAACTTACTCTTCCTATCTAGTGGTAACTTTGTACAAATGTCTCCCCATAGCCCCTCCACCCCAGCCTCTGGTAACTACTATTCTACTCCCTATTTCCATTAGAATCTTTTTAGATTCTGCATGAGTGAGATCATGTGGTATCTGTCTTTCTGTGCCTGGCTTACTTCATTTAACATAATGGCCTCTAGGTTCATCCGTGTTACCACAATATAATATTTTTATTTTCCAACATTTTCCTAAGATCTGCCCACTTGATTTTTAAAAAATGTTCTCCTTGTTGTCTTATAATCTCTTCTTTCACTGTTTTCTTTTCTTTGAACTTTACCTTTAGAGATCATGTCGTTTATGGACTCTCATAAAACTATGGGCACCTATTTGTCTGAATTATTTCTTCTATGACTTCCACGGAAAGCTTTTCAGGAACTTTTCACTTGCATACTTTTCCCTCATCTCCCTTTCAGTAATTATAAAGAGGTGCTGTGCTGGTTTCTTTGGGATTATTACTCTTTGAGTGGGGCCAGCTGCTTGCTGAATATTAGGTGAATGAGTATAGGAGTAGGGGTTTAACAATTTTAAACTTCTCATTCTGTCAAACACCTTCTCACCTAAATCTGTTATTCCCTTTGCTGGGGAGCCTGCCTGCCCTCAGGTTTTGACAGCATGAGCTGATGTGGTCACAGCCTCCTGGGCTGTCTCCCAGCCACCTCCACGTCTCCTCCCTCCTGCACCTGTCTCTCAGGCTTCTCCCTGGGCAGTGAGCGGGCCTCCACAATAGATGTGTCACTTGAGCCTGATTTCTACTTCAGCTCCTCCTTCTATGACATTCTGTAGCACCAAACTGGGGCTTCATGGGGACATTTCATCAATTTCTGGTGGCAGAAATCGTCAGATTTTCATATCCTTAGATAGTTAGATAGGCCTCTTAGTACTGTGTTACATAGGCCTGATTGATTAAATCATCGGCCACTGGTGATCAGCCTGCTGAAGAAGAGACCATGTTATTCTTGTGAAATTGTTTTCTGCTGTTGGAGCTCGAGAAGGTATAGGTTTGCTTTTCACCTTCTGCAGTTGTTTTTTTTTTTTTTTTTTTTCCGTTTCC